CCCCCCCACATGTCTCCTTTTTGCCTATCACATCTCTGTCATAGAAACAGTGCCCTTCCACCGAGAGGCGCTGCAGTCTAGCACTTGAGATGGATTTTGAAAGCTGTAGTTAGAGCAGAAAATGAAAACCAGGTGGGTAAACTTGATATGGAGACGGTACATTATCCAGGTAAATTGAAGAAAAACAGGCACTTGGGGGTGGCTTGTCGGAAACAGTTCGTCATATTTTTTTTTACACTCAGATAGCCCAATTATCTAATAGAAACCTTTATTCGGCGAAGATATACATGGGTATTTTTAAAAGAGTTTGAGAGAGGCGTAGAATACAAATTATGGTGCTTTAAAACATAATAAAGACAAACTGTCTATTGAGCTCCCTTGTAGCATTTTAAATATAGAAATACAATAAGGAATTCATCTTTTTTTGGTCACCTAATACCCCTCCCCCCTAAGGGAATTAATAAACAAATTTTAAAAATTATAAAGACACCCTCAGATCTATGTCATTCCACTAATCTTGTAAAAAATAAAGACGTGCCAGTCTTACAACTAGACGAATGCATGACTTTGATAACGTTCCTTCACCTTTCTTAAAAGTGACGGCTATGAAGCCTTCAAATCGTTTTCTAAATTTGACTCTTAGCTAGCACCAGGCCTAGTCGTTGTAAGAGTATGTTGGTTACTAGTTTGTCATTTATGAGGCAGCATGGTGGAATCAGGCTCTCGTCAATGTTTTGGGCATGTCACGTTATTGGTGTCATCTTAAAGCTTGTTCAATTGTCCTTATTTGGATGAAAAAATATCCATTTATCTTGAATACAAGTCGAGATATTTGTGAATGAAGGAGGCGGGGGTGACCTATTTTCATAAGCAAAATTAGTGAGAAAATGGCTTCCAAAGATTAGTTATTCCTTTTGCTTAAAAGTCCTTGGTAACTAAAAATTTACATTACATTTTTGTGTGCCTTTAATCAACGTTTTTAAGAAAAATCGACACAGAAATGAGTTCTTTATTGGGCATGAAAGGTCTTGAGCTAAAAAAACAAAAATTTGATAAAAATCCACAAACCTGCAGAAAAAAGCAGGTTTCTTCATTTTGATTATTTTAACGAGAGCCTGATTCCAACACGCTTCCTCACATTTTAGCTTTTATTTATTCAAACAACACAGTTTCTCTTTTCCAAGGGAATTTGTTCCTGTGTTTCTTAGCATTCATCGAACAAGTTCTGTACAGGAGAAATGTATCCCTCTAAGTGACGGTAGATCATTCATACGCAAAAACAAATAGAAACGTGAGTATGCTTGTAGTGTCCAAACGCATATTGTCATTTCGTTGCCTCAAGCTTGCATTTATCTACCGTTCTTATCTCTCTTACTTTTTCTTTTGTATGTTACCGTCTGCTAACATTTCTAATAATCGGCATTCATCATACGTCCTAAATGTTTTGCAACTGCCGTTAAACTCTTACTACAAATAAAACTAAATATTTGAATTTTTCTTTAAATATTAGCAGAACTGGGCTCTTTGTTATCCAATTTGCATTTCTGCATTATTAGACTTATTATGTTTAATATGTCTTTCGGACCAAACATAAAACTCCCCCTCCCCCCCCCCCCCCGGTCCCCCGTCAAACAAAAATGAATAAACAAAATTGTACATAGATAATACATTTGTAGGAAGAGGCTTACCAAAGGGATTGAAACCCTCTATGTAGTCGGCGCAAGGCTGTGACTTCATCTGTCCTGCAGGGACGTACTCGGGCCAACACATCACATTGTCCCAGACCGGTTTGCAATAGAGTCCTGACCCTGAGTGAAGGACAAGGAAGATAATAATTTTTAGGCAATGGAGCTTGCAGGGCTGTTGCTGATGCTGTTTGTTGTTGTTGTTTGTTGTTGTTGTTGTTGTTGTTGTTTTGGCATTTGTTATAGAATTTTTGACTTTGCTGCTGCTGCTGCTGCTGCTGCTGTTGCTGTTGTTGTTTTTCTTGTTGTTTTTGTTTTTGATTTTTGCGGCTATTGGTTGTTTTGTGGAATTTATTGTTGTTGTTGTTTCTGCTGCTGCTGCTGTTGTGTGTGTGTGTGTGTGTGTGTGTGTGTGTGTGAGAAAGTGTGTGTGTGTGTGTGTGTGTGTGTGTGTGTGTGTGTGTGTGTGTGTGTGTGTGTGTGTGTGTGTGTGGCAGCCTATCCGTTCGAAATGTTTGGAGCCCCGAAGAGCGTGCTCTTCGCTAGGGACACTGCCTTCCTTGGGTAGCGGATGAGGCAGTCCAACCTCCCTGAATCCTCCCCGAAGAAATGCCACCGTCGGACCTCTGCGGCGGGGCATCTCTGCAGCTAGTGCTCCAAATCTTGGGATTCCTCGCTGCACAATAGACAGATTGGGTCAGATGTTTTATCTATTCTATTTTTGGCCCGCAGCCCAGAGAAGTGACCGGTTTTGATTTTTGCCAGTAATTAGTGGTCACTGCGGGACTTAATAAGAGTCTATCGTTTTAAGGAAATTGCCCTGTATATTTCCTTCGTCCGCGTGTGGGATATCGGGGGGGGGGGGTCTTTTGTGATGAGTTTTATCAGGGCGCACGTACTTTCATAAGTAATTTGACGACCTGGACCCGGCAGCGCTGTTGCCAGTTAGGCATTACTGTCAGCGAGATCGTTGCCGAGGATATCGCAGTGACCAGTGATCCACTGAATCGTGGGTTGAGGTGTTGCATTATTTATGCGTAGTCGTATTTGGTCGAGGAATGGTGATGTTCCCACTAGTGTCATGCATAGCGATTGACTGTCGGTGAAGATAGCGACCGAGTTGGATGCATCACACTCTTTGTCAATCCAGTCAATGGCCATTTCCAAGGCTCTCCTTTCTTCTTCGAAAGAGCACATGAATATGGCGCCTTTCTCCCTCAACGTCTCGACAACGGTCGGGTTGGGCGGGTCCCCTGTTGTGATGACGACTCCAGCGCCGCCGCCCGTTGTTCCTGCCATAGCCGAGCCGTCAGAGTAGATATTATTGTACTGTGCGCCAAGCTCTCGTGCTCGACGTACAGCAGTGCTTGGAATCTTCCCACTGGAGTCACTCCTTCCGCTTATGCCGTACAGATGGGGGAAAGTGATGTCGGGGTTGATTCCCTGTTCCCAGGGCCTGGTTTCGAAGTAAGTGATGGGCCTCCTCTCGCAGTTGAACAGATGAGGGCTCTTTTTGCTGACACCTTTGGTCCTTTTTCGGAAATCTCTGCGTCCCTCTAGGTGTCTGTGCACTTGTTACGTTGCCGCAATTCGTCGAGGGTGGTCGTTGTTCATTCGCAGGGCCTTCTCTCTTGATCGGAGACAGTTAGCATTTATGGTGAACAGAATGTTTGGGACCCCCGTTTCAGCCCGAAGTGCCTCGATCGGGGAGGACTGGGCTTTTGAACCACCTCCAGATTATTTATCAGAGTTTTTCTCAGCCACGGTTGCCAGCTGCTGCTCGCAATGTTGAGGACACTTTGTATATGGGCGAGGTAGACCTTGCGTAGGTCGTCTTTCCTCCATCCCTCCATAATTTGGAAAACAAAAAAGACTACTTCAACGCAGGTGGCAGTGAAGCTGTGAACCATGGATAAACTCGTAAATAAGTAATATTATAATACTCTATAAGTGATCGTTTAAATAGTGGGCACTCTTTCTTGTGAACGTTTCATAGTATCTGCACTTTTACGCTAATTACCTGTTGTTGTTGTTGTTGTTGTTGGTTTGTGGTGATGGTGTTGTTGTTGTTGCTGTTTTCGTCTTTGGTTTTTCTTGCTGTTACGTTGTTTTATGGAATATATTCTCTATTAGATATGGAGACAGACAGACAAACAGACGGACAGACAGACGGACAGACAGACAGACAGACAGACAGACAGACAGACAGACAGACAGACAGACAGACAGACAGACAGACGGACGGACGGACGGACGGACGGACGGACGGACGGACAGACAGACAGATAGACAGACAAACAGACAGACAGACAGACAGACAGACAGACAGACAGACAGATAGATAGATAGATAGATAGATAGATAGATAGATAGATAGATAGATAGATAGATAGATAGATAGATAGATAGACAGATACATAGATAGATACATAGATAGATTGATTTTGAAAGAAAAGGTCTGAACTGACTTACCTTCCGCTGGTTTTGTAGCGTTTGTGATGCTGGCGTTGCACCTCTGCCATGCCTTGAAAAGTTTGAATCTCTGTTGCAGCTGATGCTCAGTCTGTTTCACACAACATAGGACACAGAGAAGATGTTTGCAACTAACACATTCTATACCAGTCTATATTACTACATTGTAACGCACATGATCGTGTTCATCTCATCTATATTTTTTTTATGAATATGAGCACAAAAGAACTTTAACATAAAAATAATATGTCCTGACAAAAAGTACCATTAGATATCTGCACAGAGCAAAAAAAGAAATTCTGTTGAAAACATCTTAACAAATTAGCTTGAACTTTAAAAATAACAATGTATTTTATTATGTAGAAACGACGCTTTTTCAAACAGTCGGGTCTGACTGATTGGGTTCAGGCAAAAACAAAACAAAAAGAAACCCCGTAAAACTAAATGATTTATTTACACTCCCTTTCCATCCCTTATTCTCACCCTGAGACAACTCAGCTCACATATGTCTTACATTTACCCCATTAACATAATATAATATGCTTAATAAAAAAAGAAGAAGTATAAATAATTTGTTGAACTGGTCACTCACCATGCCCGAAGCTTCGTTTTTCTCTGTGGCGCTGGCAGACACAGCAACTAGAAGCATGGAGAAGATTCTCAGAAATACAGCTTGTGTACCGCGTGGAGCCATTGTGATTTTTACAGGAACAACTGGATACCTGGCTCACAGAAATTCATCTCAGGAATACTTCTGCCGGTTGACGCTGATGCAGCAATGATATCGTAGCTTCTGTGAATGCTTAGCTCGTCACATATTACTATATCACTGGGTCATCCATTATAGTACCATTCCTTTTGATCGAAAAGCAGAAGTCTATTGACATATTGAAACACTTTTATAATCACAGTGAGTAAAAGAAGACACAGCTTTGCCGCCAACTGGAGTTATTGTGTAAGTTCCATTCACATCTCGATATGGAAAAGAATAATATGTTTTAAAAGCCTTTCTTCAACTGCATTTACAAACAAGATTATGCTAAAAGAATAATTTCTGTTTTGGGATTTTATAATGCACAACAAAGTATAACATTATTATGCGTTCCCATTAGATGTCCCGGAGACAACACATGTTGCTTCCCAGTGTTGATTGGCGCACTGTCTACACGTTCAGATCTATACACACAATGTCAGTCAACTGTCGAGACACACCGAAGCCTGACACTTCCGACTTAACATTATCGTACGAAGTAAAACTGTTCCGTGGGCCAGCGACGGGTCAGCATACACGATAAGGAACGTCACAGCAAACAATGCATCTGCTAGATTACAGCATCACGATTGATTAATTCCTCTACTCAGTTCTTGGCACAAGTTGATTTTGATATACTCTAATTGAAACATGTTTCATTGTTTACCAAATAAAATAGATAACCATAGAAGCACAGTCTTTCACAGTCTTTTAGGAATAATGACAGTTCCCGTCAGTACAACTGAGCAGAAACCTTCTCCCAGGTATGATAGTAAACAGTAATCCCATTTGACTGAGCAATCCCTGAAAATGTAATGGACTCCAGACGGAAGACATCAGGCGTTGTCCCCTGTCGACTGTTTTGTCGTGCCTGCAAGAGTTACAAAGAAAAGACATGTTTATGACCCTCATAAGGAAAATTATTTTATAATACCACGATAACTATCACACATAACATAATAAATAATTGGAAACAGGACCACATCAAAGCAGGTGGCAGTGAAGCTGTGAACCATGGACGGGGTTATAAATAAGTAATATAATACTCTATAAGTGATCGTTTGAATGGTGGGCACTCTTTCTTGTGAACGTTTCATAGTATTTGCACTTTTACGGTAATTACCTTATTTGAGGTAATGTTAATCAGCAACTAAAATATTTCATAGATTTATAATAAGCAACGGTCACCTTCTGTTTCAGGACGTCACTGCATTACATTAATTGGCCTGGGCAGCTGCGCCCAGTCTCCATACTAGAAAACTAAGTAACAATCAATTGCTAATATAATAGTAATAGAATAGCAACTGACTTCATGCGTATTGCTTTCGATATAAGACCCCCTAGAGAGTTACAGTATAGTCGACCATTTGGCTTCTTGCATGAGGCAACCCATAATACTAATGGCATCTATATCCTTTGGCATAAAGAGGTGAATCTATGAGACAGAGGCATCGTTAATAGAGAAGTATTGTATAACATTGGTTCTAAAGGGAGTATTAGGGATGGTGGGCTTTGTATGTGTGTGAGTGTGTGTGTGTG